ATGGTTTCTGAAGTTGCTCTAAAATACTTGGTGCTTCAAATTCATACTCTATATCTGATTCAAAAGAATCTTTTTTATTAGCAATAAATTTAGTCAGAGGATATACCAAATTAGAAAACCACATTCTAGAATGATCTATAGGTGAATTTTTAAATTTGATTGGCTCTTACAAGCCCACAAAGTTGTACATTGACAAAAAAAAAATTTTATAATAATTTAGTACTAAGGCCATGCAAAATTAATTAATTGGTTTTCATAACCCGGCCGGGTCAAAATTTGAAAACTTCAAAAAAATTTTTTTATATGTTTTAATAACCAGGTGAGTTTTAAAAAAAAATGTTATATAAATTTTATAAAATCTTATATATGAAATTTAAAAAAAAAAGCTAGCCGGCCAGGTCTATTTAAAAGTTTCATGTTATGAAAACCAAACAATTAAATTTGTATAGCCTAATTGATATTCGAATATATAGTTTTAAATGTCTAATTTAAATAATCAAAAGTAATTAACGCTAATTAACTCTCATCAAAAAGGTAAATAAAAGTCGAAGTTCGAGAAGTTATTTGAAGCATAGAAGCTTAATCTTGCTAATCTGTGTTATACTTTTTATAGTATTGGCTTTTTAAAGACAACCAGAAGAACTCATCTCTATAATAAATGAATGTAGCATGATAGTAAGAACAAATATAGCATAATAGCAAGAACAAATATAACATATTAGTTGGGGTAAATGTAGCATATAGTTAAAACATATATAGTATAATAATTAGGATGAACTAGCATAATAGTTAAGACAAATGTAGCATGATAGTTGGGATAAATATATAGTTGAGATGAATACAGCATGATAGTTAAAGTATAGCAATAGTTAAGATGAATGTAGCATGTTAGTTCTGTAATATTGTAAAAATTTTAGCCTAACTAATTTTATTAAATATTAGCCCATTACATAAATTAAATAAAATTTTCAGATACATAAAATAAAATATGTTAATTTAACACAAATCGTACATATTGAACAGCTTGTATTGCTTTGCTCCTATTTACTAAATGCCTAGTTCTCATCCTAACTCTAAAGCTAACCCAATGCTAAAGCCAAAGCAAAAAAGCCAATAGCAAACACAACACATTATTAATAGCACCAAAGAGTAATATACAACTGCCATCTATTTTAAATAATACCTGTTACCTAAAATAAAGAGTCAGCATGTATATGAACATGACAATTACAGCTATTATTATAATTTCTGAAACACTTGCTCATTACCTGAAATCTTTTTGGTTATCCACTAAATTATCTAACTCTCTGAAAATTATATCACTGCCTCTGGACAGAAGGTCCGAAAACAGTAATATAGTTTTTAGAGAGTTAGGTAGTTTACCGAATGGCAAAAAGATTTCGAGTAATGAGCAAGTGTCTCAGTAATTATGATAATAGCTATAAACTGATAAAAAAAAAGCATACAACCTAATGCCAAATAAGTTTCCAAATCACTTGTAATTAAAGAACTTGAAATCAACTACCAGCTAAATAAAACCCGAAGCTATAACCTAAAGAAAAAAAAAAATGCTAGTACTGTAATACAACAAATCAAAAGATATAAGAAACTTATCTATATACATCACCCAACATGATTTCATTCTCAAATCTGAAGAAACAAAGCCAAACTACCCAAAAAAGGAAATCCAAAGCTGTAACCTGAAAAAAAAGTAAAAGAAATGTTAGCACCATAATACAACAAAACAAAAGACAAGAAAAAAAAAAAGAGCCAAAGCTTATATTATGCATGACCCAATGCTGATTATGTTCTCAAATCTGAACTCAAAACCTAACTACATGATGAAGAAAACCCGAAGCTATAGCCTAATAAATAAATAAAAAATTAGTACTTTAATATAACAAAACAAAAGACAAAAAAAGAACCAAAAACTTAGCCATACACAATTGAAGAACACGAAGCTCAAACATTTAACAATAATATCATGAAAATTATGACACCAACGAAGTGCCAATAAAGACATTAACGATGATACCAACTACCTAATCTAATGACAGAGTGATACTAAAAAAAAAGTTAATTAGTAAAAGAAAACAATACAAAAAACACTACAGAACTAAAAGTAAAAAAAGCTTTTTTACTTAGGATTTGCGATCATCCTTGGATTATGCTTTAAAAATTTTCAGAATCAATCAGTTGATAATCTATTTCTATAAAAGGTGTGATTAATGCTATCCATTATAGTATATTCCCAGACTGAAATTGGCTTTGATCACTTATTTGCTCTCTGGGTCCAAATAATAAATTGGCATAGTCATCCTCAGTTTGATTATCAGAAGATGCAAACTTTTTAATAAGAAGCTTTATTGTTAGATAAATAAAATTGGAGCTAAAAAATACAGTAGTAGCATTGTAAAATAGTTTTAGCAATAGAATAAGACTGTCTAATAATCTTTTTTCATTTTTGATTAGGTTTATTAATTTTAAATATTTACTATCGAGCCAGTCACAATATTCTAATTCTAATAGCAACATAAAAACAAGATAATTTATTGCTTTTCACAATTCCTTAAGCCTAATCCAAACCAGGTACAAAGAGTTCTATCTTGTTGATATATTCTCAATTACTTAATAAATTGTTGTATAATAGCACTTTTCTTGTGCATTCTTAAGCCATTTAGTTTGTTTAGGACTTTGGAAAAAAAAAGAATAAGATTTTTTGCACATTTAATTAATTGTGCTACAGGTTTAAGACCTTTAAATACACTTAACTATAATGTATGGGCAGAACAAGCTGATTGTCTAATATTATTAATTAAACTAATTGCTTTTTTAATATTGGAGCCATTGTCAGTTGTAATACAAAAAACCTTTTCACACAGTCCTTATTTGATAATAACTTGATCAAGCGAATTTTGGATATTTTCAGCCGTATGAAGTAACAAAATTAGTTTGATTGTTAATAAAACCTCCTTTAATATAAAATTTGAATCAATCCACATTGCCGTAACTCCGATGTATCCTTTATTAGTTCTTGAACTCCACAAATCTGTGGTTAAATTAATAAATTCACTATCTATATTTATCATACCAAATAATTGGTTATGACTCCAATTATAAGCTTAATTAGTCTTTTTTTTTGTGATTATCTTGCAGGGAATTCTAAATCCAGGTTTCAAATCATTTAGAAATCAGCAAAAAGATTAACAATGCAAAATATTTAAAGGTTGACAATCCTCAATAATAAACTTAACCAAACTTTGTGCCAGTTTTTCTTGTCGATAATTGGTAATAATGTGCATAGCCTTAACAATTAGACCATCTGTGCTCATTCCATCAGGATGATCTTTATCAATTTGATACTTGGACCAAAGGTAGCCAAGCATATTTCTGATTGAAGAGTTATATATATACTTTACTATAATGTTTTTTCTTTACATAATTGACAGATATCAAAAAAACTTTTTTTTATTTCTTTAGTTTTAAAATAGTCCCATTCAATACTATAATTATCTTGCTTTTTTCTTTTTTTTGTTTTTGTGCTTTCTTCATCTTTAGAAGGTTTATTATTTATAGGCAATTTATCATTTATAGTGGATTTATTATTTGTAGGTGATTCATCATTTGTAGGTGATTCATCATTCATAGACAATTCATCATTCATAGGTAATTTATCATTCATAGGTGATTTATTATTTGTAAATAGTTCATTATTTCTAGGTAAGCCTTTATAATAATATACATTATCTTCATTTATATAATAATCAAATATAGTAAAGCCTTTTCTTGATTTAGGTTTGGTCTTTTAAGATATAATTTATTATTATCTTTAATAGTAAATATTAATGATTTGACTTAAAAAACATACTTATACACAGCGGCTTTTTTTGGCTATATCAATATTAATTAATAGCTGGAAACTAAGGCTAGTAAACTACAACTAGTAGGCTGCAATTGGTAAACTATTATCAGTAACTACAACTGATAGACAACTAGTAGAGCAACTGCTACTGATCTAATAAACAACTGCTAGTAGAAATAAACAAAAACTAGAGCAAAGTTTTTAAAACAAAAAACAAAATATAATTTTATCTTGCCATGTTCTAGTAAACAAAGAAAAAATAGTATAACAAAAAAATTATTTACAGTAATTTAAAGTTAGCCTTTTAAATACTAATCAAGAATATGATTAAAACTTTTTTAACTTATCATTATCTTTATGCATTAAATTACATAAAAATAGTGCATTTTTAGCTTTTTATCATATGATTGCTATCAAAGAAAAACCTGATATTGGGCTTTCAATTATATTTTGTATATAGTTAGTAATCTATAGAAACTCTATCATAATAGATTTTCCATAGATGATAACTATATACAAAATATAATTGAAAGCCCAATGTCAGATTTTTCTTTGATAGCACTTATATAACTAGAAATTTAGATCAATTAAATATTTATTTATATGGTTAATTGAATATTTTGTTTATTAACCAGATACCTGTCTATTATATTAAAACTAGTTTTTACAAAACTATGAACCAATTAGAAAATTTTTGGTTTAGGTAATAGGTTATATGGTTACCTAAATAGTAGGTTGGAATACTAAACTTCACTATTTCACTAAATTACCACACCTATTATAATTATTTTTATATTTACTATATATATAAACAAAGATTATTATTTTTTTAACTTGCCCTCCCAAGGGCCAAGCATAGTATAAATATAATCAATGGTCCTCAGTGTGGATCCAATATAGCATACCAACAAACTATATATTAACTCTTAAATCT